GATCACCTATGCACCAAGGGTTCCCGTATTTTATCAGAAGGGCGATAGCGAATGACTCGCCAAAGTGGCGACACAAGTACCCGCTAAAAGTCTGGACACATGTTTCGCCGAATTAAACAGTTGGAATATATAACAGAACGTACGTGCGGAACGCTGGGGGACACATTGACGAACCGCATTCCGCGCAATACAAAACCAGCGAAACGCGTATCCAGGTTTTAAGCTGGTGCCGAATTTGTCGCGAGGATGAATCATTGAGTGGGTGTATACTACTTACTGCCGGTTAGCGATTTGTGAATATTACGCGGTTATCCCACCACAGTTGGTGAGTTTCGGCTGAAATATTTAATTTGGCCTTCGGGACGAGCCCGAGGGGCTTGGACCGAAGGATTTACTCCAAATTCGCGAATTGATTTCCCAGGAAATTAAAAATGGCAAAAGGTGATCTCAGGAGTCCCCATTAAGGAGAATGTTGAGCAGAATAGAGCTCGGCGCTTAAATACAGTTTTTCGCACTACCTACGACTGAAGTGGTCAGAACGAAGTGAGGTGGACAACAGAGACCCCCGTCAGATTATCTTGGCGAAAAAGAAAAAAACGAAGGACCGCCTAATAGCCTGAATAGGTCGCCCAGAAGTCACCAAAAGATGCTGATAGGTTTGCAAGAGCTAAAAAGTAGAGAATCATGGAGATTTCTACATGTGACACAGAATATGCATAAGCAAAAGTGTTGTATTAATTTAGGACGAATTTTTACCTAAGATTCGATGGTATTTTAGTGAGTAAGAGAAAGATTCACTGATGATCAATGACAAGTAATGGCTGTCTTGATTCGGCTGTTGATCAAAAACAATGAAGAAGGCATTTAGACACCACAAAGAATTTGAATCCAGCGCTGTTAGCAGAAGCCAATCGAAATAGGGAATAGGCGTTAAAAACCGGATTTTTAATTCAGGGACTTTACTAGCAACTTTAAACGCAGATCAACAGCCAGATTTTACAACAATGACATAAGTCGAGGGAGAAGAAGATACGTAGAACTAAACGTGCGACCGTCGGTGCCGACGATGTCTACTGTGTGCCCAACAACAGGGCGGGCGCAAGGATAGTGGTTCGCACGTGAATCAGTTTGTAGTCGCAGCAGACTTGCGCTGCATCTACCGCACTCGCTTCTTGTCTCCCGCCTGAAAATGGTGTCATGACAAAGTCAAGAAGACTGGAGGCGGGACCGAGCGCATGTGGCCGGCGCGGCGTGAGCCTGCACCCAGATGTGCTACCGCACCACACATATGTAGCATGGGTGTGCACCCCCCGATAACGCCTGTCGTGCCCTGATCTGACTCCCGCGTTGATCCAGTGCATCTACCACTGCGTGGCCAAATTTGGGGCGTACAAATTAGATACACAGTGCACGACAAACCTACAGCCACCCTTCAAAACACTGCAGATAGGACGCGATTCGAATAGAAGAGACGAGTCCTAGGAAGCAGTCTTGAAGAAGGAGATGCGATCGCTGGGACAATAGCTTTATTAGCATAACGTTTCGGATTCCTGCTCGAACCCATCATCAGAGACAATAGCAGATACGGGTAGCTAATGCCCAAGGAGCTGCAGTATCTGCAGGATGCAGTCGCCATGCTATCGCATACCTATGAATATTCACGGCTCGTGGTGTGATGGCCAACATTCGCGTCGTTAATTGCTGCAATTTCATCACGTGCGTTGGATGTTGGTGTGATGGTTGATCGACCATCTGACGCGCTGACCCTGGTGTTGGGAAAAGTGTTCACCTGTTCGCTCCCCGCGTGGTCAATTACCCCGTCTAGGCGAGGCCTCAGGATCGAGTATGGAATGGGAAGATCATTGCCCTTGTTAATGGACTGGGGACCAGTAAACCATGACTAAAGCAGCTCGCGGCTCACGCAGTTGTCACCTCTTGCGAGAATTTCTGCCTCGTCAAATTTGAATGGGCGGCCGGATCTCGTCGAATGAGCCGCAACTTGAGAGCTGGCGTTATTTCTCCATACCGCTGCAGCGTGTTCGGTCATTCGCGTTCGCAGCCGTCTTCCGGTTTCTCCGACGTAGTTGCCTTGTCCGTAACTGCGCCAGATCCGATAAACGACTCCTAAGTTTCCTGCCGTGGCAGTGGATCTTTCGGTTTCATTAACTGACGCCTGATGGTTGCCTCCGGTCTGTGTGTGTAACTCCAGCCCCAAGTGGTGCGAGAAAGCGGCCGAGAGCTTCCGAAACGTTCTTGACATACGGAAGCGCTCGCCAAAATTCGGTGTCCAGTGCATCTACCGCGTGGTCAGTACAAATTAGATATACAGTGCACGAAAAATCTACAGCCATCCTTCAAAAGACTGAAGATAAGACGTGATTCGAATTCCCCTAATACTACGAGAGCAAGATCGCCGTCACATCAGGGCAGGCCGACTCAGCATCGCAGCCTAAAATATCCAAATCTGACTGTGGGAGCAGCAGTGAATAAGAAAAGTAGAAAGTACCGACACACAGGAAATGGCAAGTAGGATAGTGAAGAGGGGGGGGGGGAGAGGGGCAGGTCAGACGAGATTGATTAAACGCACTTTTCCCAAGGAAATAACAGTGCATGCTATGCACGTCGAAATCCGGAGGCACGGTGTGTTGCGCCACCATCAGGGCCTGGGCCATGAGTTCTCCACCGTAGATGGTACGCGGGTTGAGTACTGGACCACGCTTAGCCCTAAAAAGGTGGGGGACGTACAGCTAATGTAGGAAAGCCCACAGACGCAGAAAAGGATACCCTAATTTACTATTAAGTTGCTTTGCAGCGATAACTGCAGTTAATGGCAATCAGCAATTTCTTAGAGTCACGTCTTTTTGATAGCCTTAAAAGCCTGTACTAAAAAAATCAAATCGTAGAACACTGAAAATGAAAAAAAGTTGGTAACAATCGGGAGATGGCACTAAAAAAATCCGTTACCTAGAAATAATACCTTTAACAGTGGACTCAAACGCCTGCAGGCGATATCAGCGGTTGCAGGCCGACTTTCACGCACTACTTGGACTTTCCCCGACGGCCTAACATAGGCTGGCCGAACGACAATCGCAGGAGGCTACATGGACGATGGTCGCTGTTACCCAACCTTCCCCATCGTTACACACGTACACCTGAATATACGGCATACATTCGCATTATGGCAGTTTATTACAAAACAAAATCACCTTTAAATAGGATAAGTCTGCACAACATCGGACAGGAACATTTCCCAGGCATCCGTCAAAGACATGGCATTGAGGGCAAACCAAAGAAGATACTGTACTTCGTCTATGTGAGCCCACACAGCTCGACCACATACAGGGCCTCCCTCGTAGAGTTTCCTTTTCAGTCTACTCCAGTATGCCTCAATGGCATTGGTGTGGCTTCCGGTTGTAGGGTCCTTGAAGTTCTTTGAGTGGTTAGCAGAGAAATGCAGATAACCTTCTGAGGGAAGACGATTATACGCCTTCCATTCGTCCGCTACCATTATACTGCATTTGGCGACCTATTTTGTAATAACGGAACGGAGAGCGGGCCAACATCGTTCACTCACCTGTTCAAATAAGGCTTTCCGTCGGCTAGTATCGTACATCCCGACCGGCCACCACCCATAAAACCCCTATTACCACCTGTCCCGTAAGACAGGCTGCTTTGTTTAGGCGGATTTTTTGGGTGCCATCTCCCGATTGTTACCGCTGGACTTCTAAACCAACAGGTTGCGAGTTCAAGCCCCAGGTATTCCAAACTTCGGGATTGGGCATGACTGACCGAGGACGGCCAATAAGCCAGAAATGGCTATTCCAGTTTCCCTTGCCTTTGTTGGCAATACAATTCTGCCGATATCACGAGTGAAATAGTTTACAGTGATGATAGACTGGCTCAGTATCTACTGCACCCTCTCCTCCTCCTCTCCCACCCACCTGAACCGCTGCAAAGACACAGTCACATAGACTGGAGGCAGGATCGGGCGCAGTGACTGACAGGGCCAAGCCAGCCTCCGACCACCCTACCTCGGTCTTGCACGCGTACCAATGAGTCTGACGGGTTTGAAAGTATCTGCAGGCACCAAAAGCCGCGGTTTGGGAGGCAGTCAACAGACAAGGTCAGTACTGTGTAAATGGGGTAACTGGGAGTCAGGCAGCAATTACAATGACTGGAACACACGACAAAATGCAGGCATCGGGCGGTTATCCCGTTCGTAAATTCAAAAGCTGGCCTGTAACCTGAAAATCCATGTCCTACTAATTTGCTAATTTTTTCCGGTGATTTTCTAGTGTCGAGCCGTAGCTCCGAGCTGGGTAGAGAAAAAGAGTAAGATACTTCGATGATAACAATTTCGCGTTTATTTAATCAGCAACATGCTCGACCAGTACTTGCCATCGCACACAGACAATGCACGTGGTCCAGAAATGAAGTCAACCCGATGAGTTAGCAGCCTAGCAAAACGGCGCTTCATGGCATCCTTGCCTCCTAAGAGTAGGTCGGTCGCTTATTCACACTAGACACGGCTCACACCGATTTTATTGGCGCTCCGAAGCGATCTTGCTACATTTGTTTGTTCGGTTTGTTCATTTGGTCAGTGGCTGGATGCTTGTCATTCGCACTATCCAGGGATTATAATCTGCCCTAATCTGCAACTAATTTTGCAGTAACGGGTTTAGCAGTGAGAAGAACAAAGCGAGGGAGTGCTGCCACATAACAACTAAGTTCAAGTGTAATCACAATCTAAAATCAAGCGCGTGGCAATCACTTGGACTCAGAGAAGGGGGAACATACACAAACGTGTCGTCGGAGAGGGACGAGATATCGAGCGCACTAATGAAGGAATCACCTGTCGCCATTACTGTGAAGGGGAAAAAAGAAGCGGGCCAATTAGTCCATCTACAAAAAGGCCGTAATGAATAGGAGAGAGAGAGAAGGTGTATAGTTCAAACAAAAATACATATATATTTTTCAGCGGCGGTGTACACGAGATCAGATTACAATGACTCGATAGTCGAGAGGAGAGAACGGCTCAGGAAGCTTTTGTGAGTTGAGGCTATTTCGCGCAACAGACCATGACACCCGCGAGGAATCTAGAAGAACACAGAGAGAAATGAGGCAGTTCACTTGGTTTTGCGTGCAAACCAGCCGCACCGGAAAAAGCAGAAAAGTGAGCCGACTCCCACCTCTGTACAGTTTGCCTTGAGAAAGGCCAACAGTAAGCTTGCAAACTGAGCAGACTTCTGTGCGGACTCCTCAGTGTGGTGTCGGTGAAAGGCCGCGACGGCTGCGGCGGGGAGAGCGTGGGCGGAGGATTCCAGCGAAGAGAGCTGAAAGCGAGGAAAAGGGTTCTTCCGTGAAGTCTTATTTGGGGAGGGGGGGGGTAGGCAGGTTCCTAAAAAGGAAACCCAAGACGGGCCACAGTAATCGGTTCTCAGATTTGCAGCAGTGTGAGTTGTAGATACAGCGAGCTCCGAGACAGAACAAGACAACAAGCCCGTGGCTGAGTGGTTAGGGGTGTTGAACTTCTAACCAACATGTTGCAGGATCGAGCTGCAGGTGTTCTACACTTCGAGGTTGGGCACGACTGACTGACGACGGCTAACGATCCAGAAATGGCCATTCCTAGCTCCCCTGTCTTTGTCGGTAATGTTATTTTGGCGATTAAGCGACGCATTTGGTGTCTGGTAGCAGGTTGTGTAAACTCCAAATAAGGACTGGATGACATGTAGTGCGCTTGCAGCTGAACAGCATAACAACGTTTTGCGCCTGCCTAAAAGTCCAAAGGTTATAGTGAACTCAAACCATCCGATAGACGAGTGGGCTGCAGCCCTCACCTGTCCAAACAATAACCCTAACAGGAGTCAATGCAGGTCGTAGTCCTCACAGGACTGGAAACGACTAAACAAAACAAACGATGCAACAACGCTGAATACAAACATTATTAAAAAGGTGTGACAAAGCCCCGGTAACACTGACTTGGATGTCAAACTGTGCTTTCAAACGGAAAGGGCAACTACGGTGGCGTTGCAGTACTGATAAGCCCAGAGGGCAGCAATCACTGTGCTCTTTGACGGTCCTCGTGGAAACTAAACAGCAGGAGATTTTTACGCGTGGTTACTTCTAGAGGTCGGGGCTGCTGAAGAGACCGCGCTGCTGCCAAGTTAAGTGCGTTCTCCGGATCCGGCTGGATGTGGTTTGGTAGCCCCACCTTAAGTAAACACCCGTCACCTCTAATACGGGACTGGTGGTAATAGGGCGACAAGGACAACTAGTTGTATGAAAAAGGAAAGCTATTGGGCATGCGCGGTTGTACTTCGAATGGATGAGAGATAGCTGCGATAAGCCCCAACCATAAACGCTAACCCTGACCTCCAAACCTGACCCTAACTACAGCCCCTAACCCAAACCCCAAAAGTAATGTGTCCAATCAGGAATGGGCACACACCGATCAATTGGCTTCACGAAGCAAACATGCTCCGTATAGGTGGCATAGATCACGAACAGACAACCAATTATCAGGCCGAAGTCGGTCAAGTCAGCGACAGAGAATGACAGGTGGCGAGGCCCTGATGAACTTCGATTCGATGCAGTGCTTATGACCCATCTGGTAGGCCTCAGTGGTGGACCAACTGCGCCAGGTGCGTCTGTGCGCATGTTTGCGTCTCTGTTCCCAGCTGCTGGTCAGGGTTATGATTGGCTGAATGAAGGCAAAATAAGCCCGAAACAGTACTGTATCAATCTACCCGCATTCTCTGTCGTCCCGCCTTGCTGGTAGTATTGTGTCCATCGGGTGGGCTGCCAAATCACATCTTACCCCGGATTCTAGACTAGTTCTCCGGATGCCTAGACAGCCAGTTGAAAAGGCTGTAGGCGAGTGTGCATTCTGACCCCGTTGCGTCCACTCAAAAAAACTGGGTCAGTATTCTGTCACCCGGCAGGTCTCCGGATGAGGCCTAATGAGTGTTGGTTGGGAAGACCGGCTTTTATTTTGGTAAATGTAAGAGATGAAGGAGTCCACAGTCATCTTCAATCAATTGTGTATTTAGCACTGCAAGGCAGACACGGTGGATGTTGGGAGACAGTGAGGTTGCTGTTAAGCAAGGCTACCCCGCTAAAATCCAAATCATGTGCCAGTCAAGACTTGCCCTTGTGGTGGCAGTCGTTGTAAAATAAGAACGAGAAACTGTTTGGTGTTACGACTTCTGCCGGTGAAAAAGTTAACATTACGCAATGCAGGGTAAGAAGGTCTACCTAGTGAATAAAAAGACGCACAACACGTATTGCTCGTTTATTTCCAAATTTGCCTGCGAACGTACGGCAGGTGAGCTAACTCATGAAATGTCAACCGAAATTCCGAAATGCGTTTTCCTTTCGAAAAGATTAATTAAGTAAGGTCGTGAAACTTTACAGCATAATTTTATACTATTTCAGTTACCTCAGGATGCCGGCTTTCGAATGAACTTCCTTCGCGCTGCATGCAAAAACTATACTCTGTAAAAACTGACTACTTAAGTAGCATGAATTTTTCTCATTGATTTTCGATGCCCCTAAAAGTCAAACTATATTCAATGGAAAACATGCATAAAAATATTCATTCCTTCGTTCATTCGGTAGAAAATTACGTCTTGTTTCAATCTCATACTCGAAGGAAGGGTGTAATTTGGTTTTCAAAAACTTTTCCGATTCCCAAATAATTTTGAAACCGTACTGCCGTTACAGGGTTTCCAAACTACAAGCCGTATATTTTCCGCGTACGGAAAACCATACATTTGTCTACGGTATTAAAGGAAGACCATACAGGGTTCATAAAAATTAACATTGGATTTGATCCATATTGTTAACTTTACAAGCCACATTGGTAAATGCAGAGTCATGACTTTTTGTGAACGGCCATTTTACGGTTATAAAAAGTTTCACAAGTGGAAAAGTTTTTGAAACAGAATTATCTCCTTCCCTCGGGTATAAAATTGGAAGAAGACGTAATTATCTACCGAATGAGCAAAAGAATGAATATTTTTCTGCATGATTTCCATGAAATATAATTGAATCTTTAGGGGCATCGAAAACCAATGAGAAAAATTAATGCTACTTAAGTAGTCATTTTTTAAAGTGCAGTTTTTGCATGCAGCCAGAAGGAAGTTCTTTAGAAAGCCGGCACCCTGCGGTAACTGAATTACTTTAAAATTATGCTGTAGGCTGATTAGTTTTACAAGCCCACTTAATTAATCTTTTCGAAACGAAAACGCATTTCAGAATTTCGGTTGACATTTCATGTCATGCTATAAACAGTAGCCAGACATTTGAACATGTACTAATAACTCTTCCTAAATCAGAAACGGATCTTAGATTCGCGTGGAGGAAATGCTCCTAAGTTTGAAGCACTGCAAGAAATGTACTGCGCAAACGAGAAAAAGACTGCAGACACAGACAAACCCTGTTGGCTGGGCCGTACAGATTGCTCCAACGCAGCTGGCAAAGGGGGAGAGTGAGGAAAATGCGCAAGAAGGGTGGTTTTACGTTACAGGTTTTCATGATTGCCTTTGAGTCCAAGAGACATGAGAAAAGTCGACGTCTGAACGTGGAAACCGGCCAATCAGATCTGCCCGCCGGCTCGACAAATGACTGTGTCAACCTTGCTAACAGTCGCCAATCAAACGGCTAGCCTACGTCCTCCAGCATGGCTGCGTGGCCTGTTGTTTACCGAATGTACTCAACGAGTGCGAAAGTTCAAGGCAACAAGCTGCCCTCGCCCCCCCCCCTCCCAGCATTCTTCTCAACCTGTGTCAGAAGACAATCACAGCGGATGCGACAAATGCAGGAGAATGAACAGCCAACAAAAAGTATGAGCAAGATTCCTAAAATCAACGACAAATACTGCAGTAGCTGGCCAATCTTATGAAATGTTAACCGAAGTTCTGAAATTTGTTCTCGATTAGAGGGAACTCCTTGCGTTGGGGCTGTAATATTAATTAGGGTGCAGTATAGTCAGAAGATATTTCAGTTGCGCCAGGCTGCCGGCTTTTGAAGGAGCTCTTCTTCCGACCGCCTGCAAAAAGCACGCACGGCAAAAATGGCTGTTTAAGAGGTAGGAATTTTTCCCATTTATTTTCGAGTTCTTATAAATCCAAATGTAATTCATAAAAACCGCGATTAAGGATAGACTTTCTTGTGCTCGCTTGATTGCAAGTTAAGTCTTCTTTAAAGTTTATTCTTGAGCGAAATATAACTTCTTGTTTTAAAAAATTGCAATTGTGAGACTTTGCAAAACCCTGAGATTGTAGCGGGCAGCCGTCATGACCGGTCTGGAGTCATTATTCAAGACCTCGCCGCCTCACAGTAATTCGCCCTTTTGCAGTGAGCCGTTCCCGACGCGCTGACCTGAAGTCACACGACCGACAGCTCGGGCATACCTGCGTCCGCACAACCGCAGCTGCCCATGCAGCCACTTGAACGCACCTCCCCCCTGCAGCCACAGCCTAAGCCACTGGGACACCACCCTTCGGCAAATGCAGTACACACCGACTGGACACCACTTGAGCCTTGGCCCACGAGCCTACAAAAGTGACTGCCACCACTGTCCCAGGGACTCTCAGGCCGGACTGGACGCAGTCAACACCAGCTCTGGCTTCGCCACTGACCACTGCCGCCTGAGAAGACAACTGCGGGTTCCGTATACATTAAACGGTAACAATCGGGAGATGGCACCCAACAAAATCTGTTACCTAGAAATAATACCTTTAACAGTGGACTCAAACGCCTTCAGGCTATATCAGCGGTTGCACCACACACAGCATAGGCGGGTTAACTCATGAAATGTCAAACGAAATCGCAAAATGCCTTTTCGTTTCGAAAAGATACATTAAGTAAGGTTGTAACACTAAGGATAATGCAGCGTAATTCTATTATAATTCAGTTACCACAGGATGCCGGCTTTCGAAAAAACTTCTTTCTGGCTGCATGCGAAACCTATGCTATGTAAAAAAATGACTACTTACGTAGCAAGCATTTTTACATTGAATTTCGACGCCCTTAAATATTCAGATATATTCAATGGAAAACATGCATAAAATACTCATCCTTTTGCTCATTCAGTAGAACCTGACGTCTCCTTCTAATTTTATACTCGAAGAAAGGGTAAAACTCGGTTTTAAAAAAGTCTCCAATTGTGAGATTTTTTAATACCATGAAATGTCTCTGCATTTACCAAAGCAATATGGCTGAAATTCACTGCTCAATTTTAAGAAACCCCATATTGTCCTTTATTAATACCCTAGAAAAGTGTATGGTTTTCCGTACGCAGAAAATATACGGCTTGTAGAATGGAAACCCTGAATACAAGTGTAACGGCAGGTCGAGGTTTAAAATTATTCGGGAATGGGAAAATCTTTTGAAAACCGAATTATACCCCTCCTTTGAGTATGAATTTGGAGGGGGATCTCAATTTTCTACCGAATGGGCAAAAGAATGAATATTTTATGCATATTTTCCATGGAATTTTTAAAGGCATCGAAAATCAATAGGAAATATGCATGCTAATTAAGTAGTCATTTTACAGAGTATGGGTTTTGTATGCAGCCGGAAAAAAGGTTCGTTCTGAAGCCGGCGTCCGGACGTAATTGATTATCGAATTATGTTGCAGGCTGACTAGTTTTACAACCCTACTTAATTAATCATTTCGAAACGAAAACGCATTTCGGAATTTCGATCGACATTTCACGAGTTAGCCCACGTACTGTATGCACCAGGCTATAAATAGAACGGCTCGTATCTCAGATGCGTGATTGCCATGAAGATCATATTAAGAGGCCACTGCAGCTTTACTTTCAGCCCTAAGACGGATCGAGTTCCCCAATCAACTGGTAGCCTTCCAAGTTCACAACTCTTAGCGCATCATGATAGATCCAAGTGCGCGGATATGGATCCACCAGTGGCGGTCTCATCCTTTCTCTTACCAGCACCAGTTGTCTGTCCGATGCTGATAACCAACTGAAGATCAGATTGGGTGCAGGGGGTTGACAGCTCGTATACGCGCGATACAAACGACCTAATTTCCACTTTATGGATCCGGTTACACCGAAGGACATGTTCTCCACCTGGAAGAGACGCTCATGCTCCGGCGTGCGACGTTTCGTCCGCCATACAGGCGATGGAAAATCAGTTCTCAAGTTTGCTGCCGGAGAGAAGCACGGAGAGCTAAGAGGAGGTGTCGTGTGGGTGCGTCTCGTGGAGTTGCTTTATACGCCGCCTACTAGTCCGGTGATAAGTCACCTATGATATTAGTATACTCGAAAGAGTACTCTTCAAATTAACCAATGGGAGTGCATGTGGGACTAAATAAGATTTTCTTTCAGACAAAAGAGCAAATAAGTCAGTGCTACTAAATGTCAAACATACTTTCGTTGCGAAGAGGAAGGTGAGGACGCCGTAACTCTCGGGTCGCCAGGCGTCAGGCAAATGACAAACCTGCCTAAAATACACGAATAAGGGAGACTGAGAAGAGTTTGACACAAAGAAGCACTTGCCAATCAACACAGAACGCCATGATGGAACTACAAAGGGGGGGGGGGAATGAGCTCCAGTGCGAGGAACGTGAACCACACAGTGTAGACAACGAAAATGGATTTTAGCCAAAAACTGCACTGGGCGGACAACTTCGAAAAGGACAAAACAGATATCCACAATAGACGCGTAAATCAAGTAACATCAATCAAAATTCTGGGGAGTGATCTCGATTGACAAGGACTATTCAGATAGGCTTGTAACATTGGCTAACATGCAGCATAATCCAAGGTATTTCAGCTATACCAGGATGCCACCTTTTGAGTGCACGTCTTTCCGGCCGTCCGTAAAGATCAAACTCGCTACTACTTAAGAAGTATGCATTTCCGCATTGATTGTCAACAGTCTCATATATTTAAGCATATTTTATTGAAAGCATATCATACTCCAAGAGTCTCAATCTCTCGGGGCACTGTGCCTTGATAGTCTCCAAAGCACGCAGAACGACCGGGTTTATCCTCCGAAACTTTAAAACTAGGGACATCAGAATGCGCCTTTTCAACATGTACGTTAGACCTGGTCTGGAATACTGTTCGTTTTTATTTAGCCTCATGCGTGCTACTGAGCGGAAGAATATAGAATCCGTTCAACACTTTTTTACCAAGAGAATTTTAACCCCGGAAAACCGGCTTACGGGCCTTGATCCGTTATGGTTCCGTAGATTACAAAAGGGACTATTTTTGCTATTTAAACTCTTATATAATCACACATTTAACCCACTCACTTCTTTAAGACATCATATCCACCCACGACGTAACAGTCACCGTGAGGTCTTCTTATTTCTGCCTCTGGCACGTACTGTTAAATATCGTCGGTTCTATTCTGTAAATGCAATTGCTATTTGGAATAAACTACCAATGAGTGTGAAAACTCTGCAAAATTATCCTTTATTTAAGAGAACTATTACTCGATTTTTGCAATCAGAAAAGCTTCCTCAAATTTTGGGTTCTGAATCCACTGATCGGCTCTGCCGTAGCGATGGCGTTTGTGGTCTCTGAACACTATGGCCGGTCTCACCAGCTGTTCCTCAACGCCTCTACTTTGACCATCCCCAACTTCATGAAAGGAATTGACGTCCGATGATCTCCGATACCGTGCAACCCCCTCCCCCTCCCCCCTTCTTGACGGTCGAAAATCTACCGCCAGCAGTATTTTTTTCTCCTGAACCCTTCAAACCATAAAAACCATCATCAACTATATTTTTATTCTTCAGGAGTTTTTTTTACTGCTGGTCGGATTTGTGTTTAATCGCTTCCCTTGACAATGCCTGTAAATTGGCATTTAACAAATTAAATTAAAGCATGCACAAGAATATCTTTTTTGTGCTAATCTTGCAGTCACTTATGTATCCTTTAAATTTTATGCTCGGACAAACGGTAACTTTCAGTTTCCAACTTGCCAATCCTGAATTATTTTATATTTTGTCTGCCATTGCACTCGCGTTTAGGAATTACGAACTACAAGCTGCATACGTATCATTTAGTAAAAAATTATGCATTCCTCTATGCTATTAAAAACGTGCAATACGTACCTCATAAAATTATGTAATAAGTATCATGAGAAACATTAAGAAACGGACAGATATGCTTACAGTTGAAAATTTATCAGTTTTCAGAAGTTTCAAGGCTAAAAACTTTTTTAAATGAAGGACACCGGTTCCCCGAGAATAGGATTTGTGGTAGACGTTCTGAACTACAAAACGTGCGCAAGGGGATACCTGCGCAGGCTCTCCATGAAATATGCTTCGATTTATGAGGGTGTCAAAAAATGCTAAAAAATGCACGTGGCTGGAAAGACGTGCGTACAAAAAATAGGTATTCTGCTCCATGATATCCAAGCAAAGTCATTCCTTCCAACCAAAATCACACTTCACAATGTTGGGCGAAGCTTAGCGAGAAACGCCACCTACTGCAGACCAGTTCGGAAAATAGAACTTAGATTCCACTGACAGCCGCATAGGTACCAGCCCGAGCATTATGCTCAATGTGTATGCGAACATAGATTCAGAATTTATGAGTTCAATGACGGACTTTCAGTTGGCCCACGACGGCAAATAAAGCAAGAAACGGTCATGTTAGTCCCCAGTAATACCCCGGGATTCCTGATTACTTATTGCAATACGACCGACCAGGAAGCTTCTAGACCACAATTGCAAGAAATAACTTGTACATCCGTATCCCCCCCCGCGATCAGATCAGATCGACAAATGTCGCTTCTCTGTATGGGTTCCCGTTGTCAAAGGCCTACGACAGGGGGGGACTAAAGTGAGACCCTAAAGGAAAGTCTTTGGGGGAATGTAGGTTATGTAGGCCGAAGGGGGAGGGGGCGAGAAGGTGTCAGAAGGAGAGCAGTGGGTTTGAAGGCTAGGCACCGTCTACTTCGGGGTTAAAGGCGGGCGCCGAGTAAGTGCTAATTCAGAACGAAAGGTTGGAAGAGCGAAATCAGCAAAGATGTGTATGGCCGGAAGTTTGCTCTCCAGCACTCAGGACTAATGTTTTTGAAGAATGCATTTAGTTCTATTGCTAGAACTGTGAGAAATTGTCATCCAGATGGTTCGGTCTCTTCAACATCGCCCCGCACTGATATTGGAACTCACTCAGGTATAATTCACCCCAGTATATAGGAAAATCAAGAAAGGAGAGACTCTGGATGCCGTGAAAGGATACTAACTCCACTTCATGATTCTGACAGCCACTCATGAATTAAGTGTTTCAGTACGTAAATATTCCTCAGCCAATGGTGGAAGTGAGTATTCGCCAATATCCAATAAGGATGCATTTGGAACATCATCGGCTGCAGCGTCTCATTCTTGCTGGACGTCGAATTCAAATATCCACCCTTAAAAGACACCTCACAGTAATGGGCAAGGAGTCGGGCTCCCTCATGAGGACAACCGGAAAACATGAAATTCTCCCTGCAGCCCTGAAGTTTGTCAGCTGGTTAGAACAAAAGGCCTAACAGGACACCGGACTCCTTAGATTGACGGAAAAAAGAGAGAACGAGCCGAAACTGATAATGAGATGCACCGAGCCACTGTGTGGTCGCACAAGAGAAGTTCAATGCAAATGAACTGCCTTCTGACACCACCACTGCCTTCCCATGCTTCCGTGCGAGGTGTAATAACACACGCACACACAAATTTGTCATTTATAAACCTAGTTCCAGGCGTTTTTGACATATTACTTGAGGTCAGCTGTGAGGGCTAAATTCCATGCGATGTATTTCGCATGAAAAAGCGACAATGGGACGGGTAAAAACCCTAACCCGATCAGGAAACGAAATCACAGCATAGTTTGCATTCACTCTTTAAACTCCGATTGAAACGAGAGTGGATCAAACGTTCACAAAAATAAACAACAAATATTCGCTTATTACACTGTAAATGATTATATTTCCTGGTAAGATTATCATCTTCAGTACGTCGGCTTATTTCTCGCTATAACAAATCTGATATGCTTTAATGTTTCAAGATGCGCCAGAAGTCGTCACTTGCATAGCTGCGAATTGACATAGCAACTCGATTCCCGTAGCCAGCACTATGTCTGGGATGAGTGGCCAGCGGACTGAGAGTTAGGTTCAATGGCTCCTTCCTAATGTGGCCTCTGTAGCACTCCCACGCACGTGAGATCGGATCGTCCCCACTTTAGTGCAGACCCGTTCTAGCGTGTGGGGGCAGGTCGCGTGCGCGGCACGTGTAGACGGGCTGTTCTGCCTTCCCAGCCATTGCGTCCGAGCCCGCCTCTGAGGATCCTGACTCTGTCTTGCTACTGGGCTCAGGTGGTTGAAGCAGCAGGGAGTGCGGCAGACGCTGCGACAGTCTGCTAACAGCACGCGCAAGCCACCGTCCTGCGTCCATCAGGTCGTCGGACACACGGTGGTCATTGTCGCATGCGACGGTCTAACTAACCTACCTTCCAAAGAATACGTTAGTGTGGCATTTGATTTGTCGCACTCGATGGCGATCTGCACTAGCTTGGACGGCTGAAACGACCTGCGCGTTAGTTAATTTGCAGTGAGGGAGCGTTTGCAACCCCTATCTCACCAAATCTTCCCAGGCCAAATATCACTTTAGTGGCAACACAAAGTCCGCACGACCGCACAGGAGCCCGTGATTTGTGCTCAACGAGTGCTACATCTGTTGAGCCCCGTGTAAATCTAACGCACATTGATGACCGTCCTGAGGAGGGGCGATATAGTACAATCAGTGGCCGATCTCATTAAATGTTGGCCGAAATTATGAAATGCGTTTTCGATTAGGAAGGACTACTTAGGCGGTGTTGTAACAGTGATAAGCTTGCGACGTTGTTCCGCGCTATTTAAGACAAGCCAGAGTGTTGGATTTTTAATGCACCTCTTTTCGTTTGCCGGCAGAAACCACACTCGGTAAAAGAAGGTTACTTAAGTAGTACGCACTTCTTCCCACCAACCTTTGATGCCCTTATGAATTCAGATATATTTTGTGAAAAATCTATGTAAAATGTTGCTTTTTTTACTCGTTTGGTAGCAATTCATGCTTTTTCCAAATTTTATGCTCGAAGGAAGAGTATCTCAAGATTTTAAAGGAGTTTTTTTAATTTCTGAATAATTTTGAACTCGATCTGCCGTTGCGCTTTTGTTCAGGGTTTTCAGTCAACAAGCTGCATACTTCCCGTGCAAAGAGAAACATACGTTTACTGATGCCACTAAGAAAACATCATACAGGGCTCATAAATGTCGCAACGGACTGCGGCTATGCTATATACTTAATGAGAGACATTATTAAACATTTAGATTTGATGATATTCGAATGTACATTGCACAGCCTTAAGAAACTCACCGTTGGAAACGTTTTTAAAACCAGAAGATACCCTTTCTTTGAGTATCAAGCACAAAGAAGACGTGAATTGCTAGCAAATGAGCACAAGAAAAGAACATCTTGTGCATGTTTCCTGAGAAATATTTTTGAATTTATATGAGCATCGAAAATTGGTAGATAAGATGCATATTACCTGAGATACGATTTTTGCAGTCGGCCAAAACAGAGTGCATTCAAAAGCCAACATCCTGGCGTGTACGAAATATTACGAGATTATGCCACAAGATTGTCAGTATCACAACCTCACGTAGGCAATCCCTCCTATTCTAAACCAAATTTCAGAGTTTCGATTAACATTTCATGAAATCGGTCACTGACTGCGGCTGGTCCTGTTTCCCTTTTTCACGCCCACGGATGCGGAAGAAGTGACTGCCGACAGGAGGCCGTTCCGATAAACCGCAGAAGGCAACAATGGCTGCGCAGTGTTCCGGCATCTCTCAGAACAAAACTGACGTGGCGGCGGCTGCGGTGGCACCACTCGATTGGCAAAGGAGTGAAACAGCGGTATGTAAACTCATAACAGTTTTATTTGTTTAAAAAACACAAGCTGCCTTCACGTCCGAACCACATAAACAGTGATTTCAATGCAGACAGGACGTTATAGACGCTCAGCTACTATGACAACAAGTGCCTTCTACGCAGAATCCGCCAGAAAATTTAGACTGATGACGAAATAAACACAGAGCCAGTACGGTTGACTATCTTGCCATGAAATACCGTGATATTTCACGCACGCCAGTGTGTTAGCTCTTGAATGCACTTCTTTTCAGTCGCCTCCAAAAACTGTACTGGGCAAAAAAGGGCTACTTATTGGGTATACATTTTCTTTATCAATTTTTGATGCATTCTTAAATTAAAATATATTCTACAGAGACCTCCTCACCTGCTAATAAGTCCTGCATTCTTCAAATTTCAAATTCAAGGAATAGGCATCATTTAGTTCTAAAGAGTTGTTTCGTTTCCGAATAATTTTGAACTTGATCTGCCATTGCAGTTCCGTGTGAAGAAGAATACACATTCCCCTATGACATTAAGAAGACACCATGAAAGGCTCAGTAAATGTTGCAATGGATGTGGACTCTGTTGTATACTTAGTTAGGGGCAGTATCAAATAGGCATATACGATGCCTTTTGAATAGACACTACAGTCTTGCAAAATCTCAAAGTTAAAAACTTTTAGGAAACTGAAAGACACCACCTTTGAGTTCTAAATTTGAAGAAACGATTTGCTATAAAGTGAGTGCAATACAAAAGACTTTTTGCATATTATCTGTAAAATATTTTTTGAGTTTACAACTACATCAAAAATCGATGAAAAAAACGCATACTACATAATTAACCACTTATACGGAGTGTGGTTTTCGCGGCTGGCCGAAAAGAAGTGCATTCAAAAGCCAACATCCTTGGGTATCTAACATATCACGGGATTGTGTCACAAGGCCGACGATGTCCACCGTGTGCTCCACAGCAAGGTGAAGCAGGTACGATGGCTTGCGCGTGGATTTGCGCATCTGTCGCACTCTCCCCCCTCCCCGCCTAGGGCCGGTGTCAAGACATACAGTAGGTGGGCTAACTCATGAAATGTCAACCAAAATTTCGAAATGCGTTTTCGTTTCGAAAAGATTAATTAAGTAGGGTTGTAAAACTAGTCAGCCTGCAACATAATTCTATAATATGTCAGTTACGGTAGGATTTCGGCTTTCGAATGAACTTCTTTCCGGTTGCATTCGAAAACCATACTCCGTAAAAAAGACTACTTAAGTAGCATGCATTATTCTCATTGATTTTCGATGCCACTAAATGTCCAACTATACTTCATGGAAAACATGCATAAAAATATTCATTCTTTTGCTTCTTTGGTACAAAATTACGTCTTCTTCCAATCCTACACTCGAAAGAAGGGCATAATTCGGTTTTCAAAAACTTTTTTCAATTCCCGAATAATTTTGAACCCGCTCTACCGCCTAGGACCGGTGTCAAGACAGTCAAGAAGAGAGAAGGCGGCAGAGGGCGCAGGTGGCTGGCACGGCAGGGCCCGCGCCTTGAAGTAGCACCACATCCCCTGGTCCACAACAAACACTTGACCAGGACTTTAAACACCAACAACAAAGTAACGGGTCAGAAGGACGACGAGGATGACTGGGCAACCATGCACACGACCGGTATACCTAGCGGGAGCGCGCAAGCGCACCTTCCTGCAGGGAACCACGTACCAGAGAACTACCAGCTCGCACCAAGCTAAGAGGCCCACGGTTTGCTGAATCATGGCATGGCAAACGCACACAATCCTTAAGGCTTATGCTACAAGATAATCAGTATTACAAGCCCACCTAGGTAATCTTTCCTAATCAGAAACGCATTTCAGAATTTCGGTTAAAATTTCATAAGATCAGTCACTGACTGTATGTCTAAAAGTTCTTTTCCCCGTCTGTCTAAAATATTGCAGGAAATGTAAGTGTACGATGGGGATCATAGAGGATGTCACGACTTACAAAAGTATATAGTTGAGTCACAAATGGACCAGAATCCTTTCAGGCTGGCTGGTCGGCACGCACAACGCCACCAAAAGTCGATGGTCGTGAAAGACGCAAGCGGGTCCTAAGCTCCACGATAAGCCAGGAAACGTTTCACTCTTCTCAGACAAAAACATCTTCGCCTTAAATTCATACATCATGCCGACTGTCCTTGCATGTCCATTAGTGTGATTTTAAAATTGAGCATGAAAGCTAGGCAGTGGCTCTTCTTTCGGTGGGTCGATGTACTTTATGGCTAACAGAAGAGGGAGGCTTGTCGGTAAGAGGAAAATTTGTATGCGACGAAGTGCGTACGACCCTTGCTGGATTCAAACTAAGGTCAGGATGACAGTCTAGTGCACACAGGCGAGAGCATGGCGTGCCTTACAGAGGTGGAAACACGGTGTTTTGAGCACAGACCTGCAATCATCTTGAAGATTCAAAACTACACATCGAGGGAGCGCCTATCTGACATACATAGTTTGAGAGGTTCAATCAGATATCCATAAAATAAAAATCGACTGATTCCTAATGCAGCATCTTTTGGCAAAAGGAGAATTGGATGACAAACTTCTATCCTTCGGTGGATCGGCTGGTGAAATGTAGTTTCATGGGTTAAAATGAAGGTTAATTTATGCTCTTGTATATTCCAAGAATCAGTTACTGGAAGGCACTGAATAAACCCGCCACTTTAACGGCACCCAATGAATGAGAACCTCTTAGCACGATAAACTTGGCCGTTCAGAGGTTGTTTCTTTACTTCCTACGAAGCGGAGTGAACACCTACTGAAATCAACCGAAGCGGGAGACACAATGCCTCAGGGCATGTGTTTGTTGGGCAGCGTCCAGTCTAATGGGAGCCCTTAACCATTAGCATACACACGTGTGAAACGCGGTAGACAAAGGGCTTGTGCCAAGTCAATCACTGAACCCAATCGGCAGATTTGGACATACTGTTGCTGTGCGGATGAGGGGGAAGCGGAATCGAAAATGGCGCAGCATCGCTTAGCGTCAATCTGGCGATGATAATCTGACGGGCTTCATTCCCTCACGCCGGACTCCGCGGCGTGGATTGGAAGATTGTCCACTAATGGGATGAGTCAGTTCTTTTTTGATAAGGCGGATGACTGCGACGACTTTTTTAAATGAGACCTTTATGGCATTCTCATTCATGCACGATCCGTAACGCCTCATCAAAGCGCGGTACACGTAAGTAGATTTGGGGACCTAGTGTTGGCCAAGCAGGCGGCAATGAAATGCTTAACTTTGTTAGTCACTGGTTGCAAGCCCATCTCCGGTACGCGATGGGTGTGGAAATAGTATGCTGAGGAGGATGCAGCCAGAAACGACTACACGCCAAAGCCAATACTGTGCCGACCTCGTGGGTCAGTAGTGGACATAATCACTTGCGAAGGACGGATTATGGAACTGTATTTTGAAAAATTTATCATCGACTACGCCCATAGAGCAGCAGACATGTGGAAAACCGACTCGGTGTGCAGGCGAAAACACGGAAGTTTGTAATCCACCCCTGTCACGTTTAGCACTAATTGAGTGTACATGAAAGTGTAAATATAGGAAGAATTCGGGCTAGTATGCGGTCGGTGGGGTAAAAAAAGGAGCGTGTTTTGACGAGTACCTTGTAAATTCTGCTCGCAGGGGTCCATCACAGTCTCTTAGAATGGCCAAGAGGAAGTCACCTCGGTTGTGCTCTGGGAAAAGATAAAGAATCATTTGCGGCAACTTATTTCGAAAGCAAACTAGGACATGTCACTTTAAGACAAGGAAAGCTGTTTGCAGCGACAACTGTTTGATTTGCATTATACACCCCAGATGTGATTGGCCAAGCCCTTAACACCTTATTTCCTTCGTCCTTGATGAAAACTGTATTTCCGGTAAGAAAGGGGAATAGGATCCGTCCTCCCCCGGTAGTACAGGTGGCTTTGAGTTAAATTCCAGGAGGGGTAGCTATTCCCCTGTCTTAACCCTAACCATAACACTAACCCTTACCCTAATCTTAACCCTAACACTAACCTCTGGAATTTAACGCAGGACTACCTCAATTGGAAGGGGGGAGGGAAAGAAATAATGGGGTCGACTCTCGGCGCAGATTCCTCTTCTAAAACGCAAGCCACGGTGTGTTAAAAGCCGCGAATTTGGAGGTTGCCAGTCGAAGGGATAACTCGGATCTCGCAGTCAACCCTGCGTGCATTTTTGTGGGATGGCTGAATGATGGACTGCGGGTCGGAATTGGATGAATCCTTCTTACTGTGGTCGTTATGGCATTCCCAATCAGCTGGGATCCGAACCGTCCCCCTTTTCTTGTTTTGTGGAACCTGGTCACCTGCGGGAGGGCCAAGGGTGTGGCGACACGCCTGGGTTCGGGCCCACGACACGTAAGTCGTCTGCTTACTCTCCCGCCTCCAGTCTTCTTGACTCCATTATGACGCCAGACCCATATGAGAGCAGAGGAGGAGGGGAGGATGCAGCACACGTCTATTATCACTATAAACTGACTCACGAGCAAGTTATCGTCTCAGCGCCCACCAGGCACACGGTGTACATGTTCGGAATCGACGGCTGAACAGTCGTGTTATTCAAGGGGACGGACGGGAATGTCGGTTGGAGAAGGTGGAGGAGGAGGAGGAGGAGGAGGAGGAGGGCTGTTCCTATGCCTGTATCCTTCACCCCAATTGCTTCAGTCGTATTTACGAAGAAACCATCAGCAGACTACCTAGAGTGTAAACAAGTTCTGACGTCGATCCCGCTCTCCTGGCTGGAGACAGTCAGGGCGGTGCACAAGATATTCAATGGAAAAACCCAGGTCTCAAACTCAGTTCCAGTCGAAGTCTGTACGTACTTTCACCACCACCAACAAACTGGCTGATTTACTTCGTTGAAATCTTCACTGCAATCGCCAAAGCATTCAGTAGTCCAGACGTATTGATGAAAAGAACTAGCGTCCCCATGAAAATCTGCGATAAATCACCGCAGACTAGATCACATCACCACACAACTCCCCACCAACTCATACGGTGCACATGAGCACGTCCATCGTTACACACACAGCAGGCACGAACTAGGCACCTGTCACGTAAGTGGTTAATACGTTTTTCGACTCTTTCTCCACGTGGTTCCTTTGCAACGTGTGAGATCCGGGCAGTCAACCCTTTGTGTGCGTGTTCACTATTCAAGCCTTCTCGTGGTCTGGCAGGTGTGATTACAGGGCTAAACTAGGCTCAAATAAGTAGAACGCGGGAATAAAAACCTCCCTCCCCGAAATAATGGTGGCTTTAAGCTTAATCCCAGGAGGAGAACCTATACCCGTGTCTTAACCCTAACCACAACGCTAACCCTTACACTAATCTTAGCCCCAACACTAACCTCCGGAATTTGACGCAAGGCCACCTGCATTGGAGGGAGGAGGAAAGAAATAATGAGGTCGACTCTCGGCGCATATTCTCCACCACAAACAATCTATAATGCAAGTTAAGGTAAGCATTCGCCATTCGAGGGATTACAGGGCTAGACCGTGTCCAAATTGACAAGGCGGGGGAATAGTAACCTGCCTCCCGTAATACAGGTGGTCTTGCACTAAATTCCAAGGAGAGTACCTCTTTCCAACTCTTAACCCTTGCCACAACACTAAATCTTACCCCCACGTTAACCCAAAAACCAATCTTGCCCTAACCCTAGTCTCTTTGGAATTTGACGCAAGGCCACTTGCATTGGGGGCGGAAGGAGAGCTTTTCCTATGCCTGTATCCTACACGCAAATTGCTTCATCCGTTTTCTCTGGACGGCCTGAAACAGTTCCTCAACTTCGTCGCGCCAGTGCTGGGTGTTCAATGTAAGGGACACTGGGGGTAGAGACTAGCAAAACGTACGAAACAGTAAGTGCGTGGTTGGTCATGGAAGTTGAGGAGACGCTCGACGTCCTTACGACAGGATTCGACTTTTGTCGAGTCAGCAAAACCAAATATTTTCGATCCTCAACTCGCAAAAATATTGGTTTAAGAACGTCTGATGGTAACTCTACTTGAAAGGACATATCTCCCACGGATAAAAGTGGACACCATTTACAGTTCAGCGTCAGCGACCTACCGGCGCGCATGGAGTCAGATAAAACTGATCGACTATCTAAACGTATTTCGAATAGTTGCTCGACTTTGACTTATCTAAGAATGTAAGGAGATCAAGCAACGCCTTTTGCTGAGAGATGTCACTTTAATCTCCTACCAGGCATTCTACAGAGGTCTTATGTGATTTCCAAACAAACTGCTGGACATGGTTTGAAAGCCGACTCCGTTCTCATTTTATTTTCCGCTTAGCTGTCACCCTGTCGAATTCTACATGGCAAAGCCGTAATTAGGGAAGACTGCTCAAAATGGGAATTTCGGAAAAAATTTTTAGTGAGACGCGAATGAAGATTTTTGACTACATACTTCAGCGTACATCTCGTCACCCTAAAAATCAAAACTGTCTCCATCATAAGCACTTTATTGAACGTTTTTCTAACCAAACAAATTTATGTAGAACAACATGTAACTTCATTTTCAAAAAGCGGATTTCCGTAGGTGGATTTAGTTACTGGCTATCCTGCTGCAGGTACCTTAAGTAGCAGCATTTGATTCTTCATGAACTAAATTATTGGAAATTATGAATTATGGTCTGAGTCTGTCATTTCGACTCGAATACTCTACTCCCTTGATGAAAACTGGATTTCCGGTAGAAAAAAAAACAGGGATAGGAATTCTCCCTACATCCGGTAATACAGGTAATTTTAAACCAAATTCCAGGAGTACTTATTCCCGTGTCCTACCAAATTCTCGTCGACTGGTCGACATAAGGAGTTGGAATGTGAGCGGCTTTCTAACAGGATCAGATTCGTCACCTTCAATGGGACACGAAATATGAAAGCGAGTTTTACATAAGAAGCCAAAGAGGGTTCGATGCTCTCGTCATTCCCCTCACTGCTCTTGACCGGGGATCCAATGGGTGACACATGCACTTGACTTGTACTTGATACGGCTGCGATCGTGCTTGATCTAGTCGGCCTCGGTTGGATCGCAGTTGGTAGCCAGGCCCAGTATTACAGGTGGCGGAGGTTCGGTTTACTGGGGTTATTTTGAGGGGCGCCGTAATCACATTTGGCTTCCGTTTTGCATTTGAGGTTAGGATTAAGGTACCAGTTATTAGTTTTCCGATTTTCGGGTTAGGGCTTATGCCTTCAGGCTTAGGTTTTCTGTATACGGTTAGGGTTTGAGTGTACGATTAGGTTTCAGTATTACGGTTAGGTTTATCAGTTACGGCTATGTCTAAGGGCTGTGGTTACGTTTATGATTCCGGTTAGGGTTGTCGTTAGGGTTAACGGTTAACGTTTAAGGTTGAGGTTAGGGTTAAGGTCGCCTTCCGCCTCCGCATTCCTGGCTAACGACTGCGATCTACCCCTTGAGCGTGAGATCCAAGGTGGAGGACCCTCGTAGCATAAAGATTGCAATAGATATCGATGATCAAAACGTCCACTGTCCGGCGCCGCTATCAAAGGTCATCATTTCGCGATCAGCATCACATGGAAATGCGCCGCTTGATCAGAAACCTGCCTGAGCAATTTGTACGTGGCGTAAACTGAGGCCAAGGTGCACAGTCCCGGAGATATCAGAGTATATGCAGCAAGTGACAGAACTCATGAGATACTGACCGAAATTCTGAAATGTGGTTTCGCTTAAAAAGGATTACTTGCGTGGGATTGTAATATTGAGCATGATGCAGTACAGTCCCAAGATATTTCAGCCGCAGCAGAATGTCGGCTTGCAAGGATACGGTTTATGGTCGGAGTTACTTACTCCGGGAAGCAATCGTGTTAAACGAAAATAACTGGCAGAGAAGGAAATAAAAAGACCTCGTGGTGGCTGTTGCGTGAGGGCGGTCAAGATGTTTAACGGTAGTCATCGGAGTAAAAATACGACAGTGCAATACCTTTTCGAAAATGCCTGCAAAGGCCGTTAAATTTACTTACTACTATTATTATTAAATGGCAAAAATAGTGTCCCTTTTTAATTGGCGACAAATTGGAGGATCAGAATTTCTGATATCATAAAGTCCTTGTATGCTCAGCACTCTTACACAACACAAATGCTCTCCAGGGTAGGTAACTCCAGCCATAAACCATACGATTGCCTCTGGCTTTTGAATATCCGTTTTTTCGACGGTCTGCAGAAATCCCATTTGTTAGGAAATAGCTTATTAAGTAGCATGTATCTTCCCACTCGGTGTTCGATGCCATTGTAAATCTAACCATGCTTTATCAATGCATGCCTAAACCATCGTCTCCTGTTCTCCTTTCGTAGCAAATTAAGCCTCATCCAAATTTAATATCCCATAAAACGGTACCTTTTACGCTAAAAATACCGATTTCCGAACAATATTGAACCCCCTCTGTCATTGTACTTGCGTTTAGTTCCCGAACTACAAACTTCTAATTTAAGGAAACGCATACATTTCTCTATGATATTAAAAATGTGCTATCTAACACTCGAAGGACTGCCTTTCGGTTTAAAATAAACTTGTTATTATGAGATTAGTGAGACAGAAGAATAGGTATTACGGGTGTCCCCTGCGCTAAATTCCAAGGGGGAGGAATTATGGTACGAACACGACAACACAGTACGTGACCTAACTCATGAGACGTGCCAACGGAAGTGGAGACGACCAAATGTGGGCAGCCAAAATACTGTGCATTTTAAATATATGCTAAGTCTATTCCGGAAAATTTCCTTTCTGCAAGCTCAGTATTTTTGTATAAATTATTCTGTCAATCAAAATGTTTACAAATTTGAGAGGAAATTTACGTTACTCTGTATTCCGGCGGTTTTCTAGGCTAATAGCGATCCTAGCCTAAGTTTGTGCATTCGTGCGTGTTTTTCGATGAGGAAAAAATTGTTCTAATCTAAGGTTTTTGCCTCACGGAAGTTGCTGCACTTAAAAATTGATTTTTTTCGCACCTAAATCAGATGAAGCAAGTTGTAAGCAAGCGGGTTATTTTAAGCAGACCAGACGTTTTGTTGATTTTAAGAGGTCAGATTTGCAAATCTGCGGGATTTCATGCCCGAAAACGCAGTAAAACGCCTACGGGCAATCATTCATTTAAGCATTCCGACATTTTCCTGCTCTTTGAGAATACTCGATAACTGACCGCGAAAAAGACCTCGAAAATGTGACCACGCTAACTTTCAAGCATACGGTGCAAACAATGTTGTAGGGCCCAAATTTCGCTGGTGCGTAATTTAGAAAGGTAAAGGACAGAGGACTAAAAGTTTTTGCAATATCCTAGTATTTATATGGCCATCCTGTTGTGAATTTGCAATTTTTGAATGGAGTCTAAAAGTAGACAAATATAGCGAGAAAGGCTCAAATAAAAAGGTAAAGGTGAGTCCCTTCATTTGCAGCAAAAAATTATAACCTATTTTCAAGAGGCGAAAAGGCCGATTAAATCAACTAATTGTTATCTTGATTCAACCTCGGGAAAAGGAAAAGTACACACCCATCCCTTGGCGGAATACCTAATTAAAGAGCTCTTTAAGGAGGTCACTTACTAGAGAAATATTGTCAATTAATCTAAAGTATATCATCCTACGCATACGTTTTGGATGGGTTTTTGGGGTGAAACTTACATCTGTAATCGAAATGAGTAGTCACGAGGTAAACTACACCACCAATCGATCACCTTAACAAGCACTGACTGACTCCGCGTCACCCTATATAAACACACACCACAGGCCGTGTCATAATCAAGTAATGTCGCTGGAAAACACTTCAACGAGGCAAGAGGTTTAATCATTATTAAAGCCACAAACAGAGCAGAAGGGTTTTAGGGGCTGACCTAAGCGGGCTGATCAAATCAAAGCGCCCTTGACCACTTTACGGGATCATAGATAACCACCGACTTACTCGCTTCACAGAGCAGTTCGAGGAGCGTGTGCACAAGGCGCGATCGGTCATCAGTGCGCAGCAACAACTGCCGAACAGAGGGGGCCATGGAGACGGGCAAACTGCGCGAAAATTGAGACACCTTGGAGACGAGAGGAGGGTGAGAGAAAGCATAATTATGCGTGTAGATGTGGAAAAACCCGAGACGTCGGTTGGTAGAACATGGAGGTGGTGGAGACGGTGCTTACATGAAAGGAGAGGTAAATGGAAAAGATATCGGCCGTAATCGCGGATGGGAAGGAAGGAGGGTCAGTTGATTGGAGGGTACGAGCGATGAAGGACTGTAAAAGCTCCAGTGAACGCTGCTCCGACCAGCCTGCAGTGCGTTGCAAAAGCAGGCTTTTGAACTGTGAGGTGGGGAGTGCGCAAAGAATTATGGAGGAAAACACAAGGTGGGCTTAAAGAACTCAAAAAGGCACTACGGGCCAAATCCTAAATATTCTGTCAGTGTGTACTTTCGCGATGCAGAAAATGGGAAGAGAACTGATGGTGTACAGTTTATCTCCGCTATTTGCGGTTTAGTATTCACAAGTTTTTTTTGTTGGGCATATCTAAAGTAGTCGTTAATTATTTTCATTCATTTTCTTGACCAAATACGTGTGTTATGGTAAAAAAACGATTTGCTGATTTTCGGATATTGGGACTAATTTGAACGCAACAAAATATCAATGAAGTGCATTTAAAAAAATACTTTCGCCAAACGACACGCAAATTCAAAACAAAAAGTCTGCGGGAAAGAAAATACAGTTTGCGGCTTAGATATCTAGACCTTCATTCCAAGAAAACGTGTGTGCCTGAATACAAGAGTAATTTGACTAGTTTTCAGCTTGTTAAAATCAACAATTGTAGATGTGTTTACGGGTAGCTGTAAGCCATATATTTTTAAGGATAAGGTGTTTTAGGATGATGGCATTTGAACTCCAAAACAGACAGTTATAAGCGTTTTTGGAGGGGTCTCTAGCATTCGCGGACTTCAGCTACTCGCTGGTAGCCGTGGTCCCTAGTCCACGCGAATACGGGGGGTCGACTGAATCGCAAAAGGCTGCCACTGCGCGTTCACCTAGACCAACGAAGAGATTCAGAAGGATTGAAGCTGCATTTTTCCCCGTTTACGAAACATGACATAGTACTGATGTTGCGCAGTAGGCATTGTTGCAGAACAAACGCATTGTTGACAGGGTGTCGTGGCAACCAGTAAGTTATTAAACCCAGACGCAGTAAGGCATAAGAAAACAGAAACAGACAGCCGGAAAATCAGATAACAAAGGCATCTAGTCAGTGTTCATTGAGTTTTTGCCTACGGTGGGACTCTGAGGAGTCTAGAGTGAGGTCTGTAGTGAGACTAAGTCAAGGAGGATGGGGAAGGGAAATGACCGACTAGAGAGCGATTGACAAACAATAGAGTTCGGCCCTGCTATGGACCGGGAAAGACTTTTTCGTGAGAAGGTCGATATCGGACTACACTCTTGAGGAAAGGGAAGAAACAGGAAAAATAATACGTGGTCAAAAGAGAAGATGTCGCTGACTAACATGATCTTCATTGACCCTCGCTATGTTGACATCATTGAAGCCACGTTTGCCAGCCAACAAATCCCAAGCCGCCTCCGACGTAGACTGTAATAAATAGACAGCTAGGATAAGATCGAAGTCCGTAGCCGGTAAAGGCAGGTGATTGAACAGCAATGACAAACAGTGCAAATGAGGCCCACCCTTCCGGCAGGGAGCCCATGACTGGATTTCATTTCACCCTAAATAGAGGCTGTCAATAACACGATCGGAGGCTGAAAATGGGGCAACGGCGAGAAGAGAGCAGGTCCAGCATAACCTAGTCGGTCACAACTTTACGGAGATGACGGAAGAAACCATCAAAGCAAGAAAAGAAGCATCAGTTCTGAAAGTCGCCAGCGCGGGGGGGGGTTCCGAGAATGCAAATGGTCGTTCAGTAAACCGCAGACTTCCGTGATGTCCCCTTCTGGATATGAAACGCATAGCAAAATACTACTTCTGTCCTCAGAATCAGCGTTATTACAAAGTGTAATATCATTACGACACCGAGAAATTCCAAAGGAGGCGCATAATCGACCAAACAGAAAGGCGAAGCCCCAGATGTATGTGGATAAGCTTTTGACGAAGCTGGCGTATCCACCAAGTCAGCAGTAGCGGAGGGGCACTCGCATTGAACGATCCTGTTCTGGATGTGACTGAAGATCGCTTCGTCAACAGAAGGTGGGCGTCTTCTAGGTTTTGATAACTAATCAGGTTTAATTTCCCTTAGAAGACCTAGACCCTTCTTTCACAAAGACAGAACCGTCGTACAGTCACCCCGTTGAGAGGAAACACCCTAAACTGCCCAATAACAAAGAGAGGAGGCCATAGTGTGACCGTTTGATGCGAGAAGCACCAGCGTAAGGAAGATTATGGGTCCGGCGGGCGAGCTTGAATCTTGATGCTCTAGACATGGTTCCCAGCCGAATGAGACATAAATCATGAAACCCGATGCGGTAACTTGAGACGATCAACGTTGGACAGCTAGAATGCTGCACATTTCACTTATTCGCCCAGTCTATTCCGTAAAATGTCCTTTTTGTATATGCATAATATGTTAATAGTAATTTCTTCAGTCAAATTTCAGCGGAAATCTCCGACGATTTCTTATGCTAATAGCTTTCCTAGGCTACGCTTATGACTACACATGACAATTCTATTTAAATTTATTAATAACTGATCAGTCTACCAATATATATGACTTTCTGAAAGATTTTACTCCTATAGGCGAGATCAAGCAAAAACCTGTTTGCCTTAGTCAACTGCAGCTAATTCTCGTGAAACTGTATTGACATCTATACCCAAACTATAAGCTGTTGTCTAGCTGTCATACTTGACACTAGACCTATTCGTGAAGGATATTTAAGTGCACAATTTCACTAAAGGACAATTTTCAAATTTCATGCGACTTGTGCAGTTTTATCTACTCGGTTTCTTTTGCATGGACAGGCGTTACAACGATTTTTGACGTTTTCGGAATTGTCCGCTTTTTTTATAAAGCTCGTGTTTCTATATACCGGAGTGTCAATTTTAATGTTTATTTCATATTTTAAGTTTGCATAAAGTAGTTTATTATTATTTCAAAGCTTTGGTCGGTTCCCTTGTGCCGGTTTGCGATTGGTAATCTCTCGTAAACCTCGTCACCTCTCGCGACATGGGTCGCATACTGTATGGACTATAAAACTGTTCAAAGACAAACGTCTGATGACTGCACTGCCTTCGTACACAAACTCAAATTGTTTACCCCAGAAAGTCCGGATCGGCAGTAGAGAGGCAACTCTTCGCTGATTTTCCTTTTATCTGAGATTTGACTCCCAGTGGTGGTAGCAACCTCTAATAAAATCCCTAGCTTAATCAAATGTTTCTCACACGGAGAGCAGCGTTATCAGCTACGCAGGAAAATCAATCTAATAACCAGTAAGTCATTGAAGTTCAACCTACGCTCCCCGGTCTAGTGTTAGGAAACTGTGGGCGGGAGTTCACCATGCATGCTGACCGCTGTCGACGCAACCATTCAACACCGCCCTTTTGAGTCCATACAGGTGAATACGCCAGAAAGCGGTCGATGGCGAAGGGACAGTCCCTGCCACTCACTGTGATCTGGCACCGCACTACTAACGAAGACCAGACGTCGCCGTCGTGACAGACAGCGTCCTTTCGACACGGGTAACGCCAACAGCCGTCGTGGTGAACCACGTCTTTAAATACTACAACACAACTACAATACAATCCAGCGCAATCCTACAACAATGGACGCCGCCTCTCTGGCTGAAAAAAATCCACGTCGGTGGTAACCGCATGGTCGCTGACATATACTCAATGGGCGGGCCGCCCTGTCCTACACTCCAATCCGACAAAATGCTTCTTCTGTGACAGAACATATGACGTTGTTAATGCCTTAGAACGTGCGATCAAGAAGCATCCAAAGTCTGCGCCACCCTCACTATCATTATTCCTCATTAGAAAGACTCCTCCAGCCTTTAGGGTTGCACTGCAAAGATAGAACCTCCGGACGGGGACAGAGACCTATGATCAAAATAGGACTTGTCGATAGGACAGAACCCTGACCGGAATGCCCTGTTAGACTGCAACCAAAGACATACAGGCGTATGGCATGCTCTAGTAGAGGTGGGCCGAGTCTGCATGGGTCCTTAACAATTACCGTGCCTGGGGGAGTCATATCTTAGACGAAGGCAAGTGTGTCACGTCAACTATTGAGTCCGACTTCGCCACCAACCGACTGAAAGGCTCTGACAGGCTGCGGGTGCATGGCAGGGGGGAGGAGGAGAGAAGTGGGGGGGGGCGGTGAGTAGCCCCTACTCGCGGCGACACACCGCGTTCTACACTGTTGCAAATCTAAATTGTTAGGAGTCCTGACCTTGGACGTTGCCAACCGACGGGCTAACTCAGCCCCTTCTTCCAAACGAGGGTAAGGCTGAAATGTTTCCCTACCTAATGCGGCCTTTAATGGCGTCTCTTACTTACCTCAGAGCGTGTGTATGACACACCTTAGACCGCGGGCACAACCTCATCTTCGACCGCCTGACTCGGGCAGGACACGGAAACATAAGACAGGTCGGTCTACCTCGGAGCTAGCGCTAGGCCTCCGCAGTGTAAACAGCCGCGTGATCCTCAAGTCGCACGGCGTGCTAAATGTCGATTCGTGGAGTAACCGAGTGCTCCTCCGAACTCAGAGGAGGTTCGTTATCAGAAGGTTAAATTGCAATGACTCGCTTTAAATCAGAGAAAGGTTAACCGAAATTGTGGGCTGCGTTTTCGATTAGAAACGATTACCTAAATGGGATTGTAATATTATCATTCAACATAATCCCAAGACATTTGTGTCACGCCAGGAGCATCCGGCTTCTTCCGATCACATGCAGAAGACACGTTCAGTAAAAATGGCCATTTAAGTAGTATGAACTTTCGGAGTTGTTTGCTACCTATAGGGTATCTTCCAAATAACCTAGGGAAATTAATGATTTTTCCTACATGGAATGCATGCAGCCTGTAATTTGGAAACCCCAAACGGAAGTTGAACGGTAGTTGGTGTTCAAGAGCATCCGGGAACTGAAAAATTTGCTTGCTTGATATAATTAAGTGAACACAATTTCTGCACAACAAAAGGATATTTTACTGAAGTGGTTGGATGAACAAGCAAAATGCGCAACGTTTAAGACGTCCAGAAATTCTCACATCAGCTTCTGTTATCAGGTTTCATGAGACAGGTCACGTACTGTACCCCTTATGTGAAATTTGAGGACGCAATTTTCTACCGCAAAAGTGCAAGAAAGGCTATTTAACGTGTGTTTTCTATAAAGTGCATTTGTGAATATGCAGGGACGCAGGAAATAAATGAGAAAAATTCATAGGTAGTCATTAACTGCCAAGAGCCTAAGCAGGTGGTAGGACAGAAGCATACTAAAAAGCCGGCATCCCGGCGTGACTGAAATATCACGGGATTATGCTGCACGATAACCAACATTACAAACCCATCCGAGAAATCCTTTCTACTCTAAAACGCACTTCAAAATATCGCCTAACATTTCATGCGATACACCACCTACTGTGCCTTTACGATATTTTCAAGTCTGTTGCTTTTAGGACGCCCTCTTCTTTGAAGTCGCCTTTTTTATGCTTAGGAATCCGACCATGCGTTCGGCTGTCAGCCACCGCGCTTCTGTCCATATTCAGTCCTGACCCTGTCTAGGCGCCGGATTATGGTCTGAGAGAGAGGGAGAGAAGTGAGCCCAGGGCAAGTTCGTCCCACTATATAAACAAACGCGTACGCCAGTCGCCACCGTGTTCCCTCGGATGCTTGGGTGGTCCTTGTTGCCTTCGGTGAAAGAACCTGTAAAACACGGCACATGAACGGCCTCCATCTTTCACTTATAGATGGAGTTAGCAGATGGGTTGAAGTTCATTAAACTGACTAACGGCAAGACATGTTCGCCTCCCGATCGGCATTAAGGGGCATCCCTAATCACTTTAACTTTTCTCTCTGGAGCTCACTTCATGAAAGCTACCAATCATTAGGGGGGAGAGTAATTAACAAGGAACTCAACGTTAAGAGAGCGTAGTGCTTTACTCACCAGCGATGATACAGCGGTCATGAGGAGTGCCTCCGTTTCATGGGCTATAAAAAGAGACAAAGGATCTGATGCTTAAATGACGAAGTTGGATATCGAGATATATTGCTTTTTGGCGAGGGGGACCGAGCTGAAAAAGTGCCCTTAAACAGTTACAAACAGGAGATCCCAACAAGGACTATTTGCCGTCACAAAGGTTAGCAGTGTTGTAGAGCTGCAAGATTCTGTTATGAAATTGGAGAGGAGTGAGAGGCATAAAAACCACAAACTCGAGTTCTTTCAACCTCAATATGAAATGACGTCACGGTATCAATTTGTTCAAAACTTAAGTTACTGTTGGAGCTAGCTTGTGGAGTCGGCGCTAGGCAGGTTGAAGTCTCCCAGAGATTCCGAAAGCACAGCCTGGTTCGCGGTGGCCACGGAAAATACTGAGTTCTAGCGACTGCGTGTAGACACTGTGCAGTTAGGCCAAATTAAAGAAGCTCTGCATAAGTTCACCAGTTGTCATAAATAAGTATTTTCGGCTTCTGTTGGTCGTAGAACCCAGTTTAATGCATGTCTCGCGTCCGACACAATGGCAGTCGAAACGAAGCAGCATTAATTGAATTGGTTCCCAGCCGCTCCTATAGATGATTTGTCAACGACCGTTAGAGAATGAAACAGACAAAACTACACGTCTCGGTCCAGGAAACATATCCACGGGATAAGCATTAAGCAAAAAAAGGTTAAGTGTGTCGTAAACTTCAATTATTTTGCAATTTGAGGGAAGCAGATGAGTTAGAAACAGTCAAAAGTACCCAGGGCACATAAGTAACTCGTGTAAACACACTTTCAAACGTTGGATGAAGGCAGTGTGTTGCAAACCCCACGTTCGAAAAGGCCAAATCCGCTCCCATAGCAATACAGACGTGACCGTGCCAACTTCGCTGCGTTTATAGGATACTTCTCTTTCGAGGAGAAGGCAGTCTGTCCTTCACCCGATTTCCAAGCAACTCCCCGGGCAAAACTGACTCCGGTAGCAGCGAGACAAGAATTATACTACTGCTCGGCGAGTTCACATTAACTGGCGTGTCCCTTTTTGACTGAAGGCTCGGGGTAGGTGAAAATGCCGAAAATCTCGACTTCGCCATATATAGAAAACAAAACAGGGCAGAGGGCTCACAATCGGGCTGATCAGAACGCAAAGGTCTACCATGTGTTAGGTACGACAGTCCAATTTTTCTTCCTCTGCAGTTACGACGGTAAGCTATCACGCATAGCTGGAAAGCAAAAAAACGAAAGGCAAGAAAGGAATACGGTCTCTGGAGAGCTGCGCGTCTCTGCGGCATTCCACCAACTTAAACTGGTGGCAGAAAAGTCGGTGTATCAAACGGCCTGCTCGAGTAGTTAGAGCGTCGAATTCCTGTCAACATTCACAAAAGCGTGATGGTACTCAGCTAAAAAAGAACTAGAGGTACGATAAAGCCAGATTTGGAGAGGATACTTAATGTACATTTTCGAAATTTGGAAATGGAATGACAGTTGGATAACTATTATTGAACGCGCAGTCCCCAGTGGAAGGGTATGTCCTGTGTCGGTTAAAAGGCCTGAATATTCTGGCGCTAGCAAAATGAACCAGAGCTGTAAGATATTACTGATACAGGAAAAACGCTCTTCGCATCTCTCTCCACTTGGTAACTGCCGTGGACTTCGTACATTAGTACTTATTTCGCAAGACAGTAGCCTTTGAGGGCTTCAAGAACAGACTGAAAGGTCGTGCTGGGTCACACAACAATATCTGGTAAGAGCACACAGGGATACACCTTGAGAACATTTTAAATTAGTCAAAGAATACTAATCTACGCATAGCATCAGCAACCTACACTGACTTTTACATAGCAATGACAGTGCCAACAATGCAGGAAGGAATGCCAGCAGACCACAAGTGGAAATTTGACCTAACCATTCAGCGCGTTAGTAACATCTCACTGGCAGCAAGTGTCAGTAATAGGGCTGTGCTATCGATACCATCTGGTGAACAACTCGCCAGCAGCCACGGTTTGGCCTGCGCACACCCGAGATGAAGTCAAGGCCAAAGAGCGCATTGTCAAACACTACTCTGTGAGTGCTAGTAGATCTCCCCTGTTCCGACAGATGGCGCCTATTTCATACAGACCAGCTTGCGTGTTAAGTAATCAAAACTCAGGTGGAGGACGCTAGACGAAGGTTATTGCGGGAGCCGCGGCATTGATTGGGGTCGATTGGTGGGCAACCGGTGTGAGGTGTAGGTGTGCTGTAGGTTTTTTTCCCAACTAAACAATGTGCTACTATGTAGGAAAAGGCATAGCACCAGGGTTCCATAGGACTCCATTTCAGACAGAGTAGGGTACTTGGTACACGCCGCAGGATCAAGCCCTGAGACATGAAGCCCCAACAGACGTACTCCGTGTTAATGTCCAAATGCATAAGCAGGTGTATGGTTCTTGCCGATCGGTCGACTAGAATGACGAGTGTAAATATCAAGTTTGGGGCAGCTATTAATCGAGTCGCCAAATCAGGCTTTTGTTAAGAGAAAGGTAAAGTAGACAAGCTCATGTCTCCTACCAATTTATTTGCTTGAATTAAACGCACGAAGTAGTTTAACGGAAGTTAATATCCAAAACGTTAAAAGTGGACAAATGCTCGGAAAACTTACTCTGCTGAGTGCGGAAAAGAGGTGATGCAGCGGATGATATGAGGTTGGAAAGAAAGCGCAAGCGATCCTCGGACTCTTGAGGAAAATAGGTCAATGGGTCAGCAGAGTTCTTGCAAAAACTGGGTAAACGAAATAGTGCAAACAGCGAAATAGACCCCACAATCGTAAAAAGTAAATTGTTCTCCAATTACCAGACAGCCACGGGTGAACGCCATCGCGAAAATGGAGGTCGGTCTAGGACAGGGAAGAGGGCAAAAGCATCGAAATAATAAAAAGCGCAACGTATAAGAAATCAGATGCTAGGCTTGTCAGTTGTTGGAAGTTAAGAAACGAATATAAAGTCTTTCGAAAAGTCAGTAACATCATCAAGCCAAAAAGTAAGGCGAAAGTGCCTAGTGTTACCTACAGAAAACTGTACGAAGATGACCCCTTGAACGATTACGAAACGTCGAAAACTGAGAACAAGTTATTTCATACATACAAATTCAAGGGAAGGCATTGGAAAAACTCTATTGCTACATCGTTATTCAAAAATGAAAAACTCTCTGTCCTACACACCCAGGTTGATAAAAATTGTTGAAACTTCAAACTGTAAACAGCTAAATGCATGCACGGTAAAACTACCGACTCAGTGACATGTGTTGTTTATGACATAACATGCCGAAAAACAAACTACGGAAGGGCTCAGGGAACTTCGCTTTGTCTCGTTACGATCCGCCCAATAAATCTAAAATTCCATCATACGGGGAGGGATGAAGAATAAATTAGTTCTTCATCGCTATATATGTCACTGTAGTTCAAATAAATTAGAACGAGGTTTAGCGTCAAAATCAGCTGAGAGTATGGAGTTATGACTACGAATTCGCTACCCTCAACGATGGCTACAACATTAGGAAATTTGTCCTGAGCATTTTCCTTTGAAGCGCCAAATTTTTCTGACAAAAGAAGTACTTCAGCTGTCTGTAGACAATTCATGCCTACCTACTGTAGTAATTTTCGCGTGCAGTCTGCTTGTTTTCAACTGATTTAGTTGAAGAATGCCTACAATGACGATATTAGATACGAAACACTGAGTTTTTCTCGTAGAAAAAATCCCAGAATTATGAGAATGTATGAAGGACAACAGTTAGCGGGTTTATCAGTTCAATATAACCGATTTGCAAAAAACAAAACCTACCGGGACAGGAATAAAGTAAAGAAAGTGGTTGCCGTTATACCGCTCTCCAGCATCACTATTAAACTGGCCAAAAACTAGATCTATCAATACTATTTTCAGGCTAGCGTGATCGGAAAATTCAGGAGGTCTGAAACGTATAAAAGTAGACTGGAGAAATATAAAGAAGACATTATGAGTGCTTTCCTCCAGAACTCCTTCCAAATGATTTTTAGTGTTAAAGTAGAGATAAATTTCAACAGAGATTTTCCAGCTTGGAAACCTACATAATAGTATGAGAAGGTCAATACTAACGTGCAACAGCTTGCGATAGAAGGCTAAACATGACGGAAGATGCAAAACGCATGAAAGGCATTACAAGAACAGCAACACGAACGAGCAGCATATGATAGTTTGGCCGTGCTGGGTGTCAAAACAATAACGTGGGCGAGAAAATCGAGAGCAAATAACAAGAGTAGCATTTAGCACTAGGCAAGCCGAAGATAAAAAGTGTGGGTACAGCGAGCATTGTCTACAATGCTGCACACAGTTGTTCCGCATAATTGGGCCGTAATCTGCTGGCTGGGCTAGTACAAAGCCAGAATATGAACTTTGGCTCAGCAAACGCGTTTGTAGATGCGTGTCTCAGTTAAGCGTTTTCCAACCTGCGAAAAGATGCCGAGTTCGGCTAGACCGGAAGAAGAAACTCGACAAGAGTTGGGTGACTATAGTTACCCGGAAGACGTGAGAGAGCAGACCGCATGCGCCTGTGTTAGTGGGTATGAAGGACGGGTCTTCGTGCACGTTTTGCATGTGACAAACCACGAAGAAAACTCGTGAACCAAAGGGTCTGACTCAAAACATTTCCGATGACGACAAGTCCGTTAACGGCGAATTAGAACAAAGATGGCACGCAGTATTTGAGGTACGCCAAGACGGAATTAGTAAAAGTACTTAAGGCATCCTGTAATACGCAAAAGGACCTGCTGCACGTCAGATGGAGTTTATAACCACGCCAGAGGATTCATTTGTTCCCAAATGGAAGACGACGCGAAATATCTCACCAATGCAACGTTTTGCTTTGCACCGAAAGCTGTGGAGGAAATCCGACGGAACATGACCACGGTGTGGTCAACTAAATACCAACCTTTCGGTTAGACATATTCCATTTATAGAGGTTAACTTTAAAAAGAGCCAGGACCAGACTTATGACAGACTATGTTGGAAAAAAAATCGAATTCCGAGGCCGGCCCACAGAATGGCAGAAATACACACCGACCTTGGAATTCATATCTCGCGCACCTGTTATTAATACTACTAGTCTATTAAGTTGGCTTGAAAGACGGATTAGTAGTAATGGAATCCAGTTAGTATTTCGCTTGCAGGAAGGAGTAAAAAAAGTGGGCATACTGTAAGAACCGGAGAGGCACGTTTGTTTAAAGGGGAGAGAAAAACGGGCGAGCGGGAAAAAAGGAGGCGGGAGATTTCGCGCCGTGGTTTGAGTGCGTCTTCTCTCTGGTATTTCAGGTGAGGACAGCGAACGTGAGCAAGGAAACGCCCAAAACCCCGTGGATATCGTCCCTCCGGATCTGCCTCCCTGACCAGCAAGTGTTTCCTCTTCCTCCCTTTACCCCCTGGAACTTTCCGCGCCTCTGACCCCCTTTGTTCTTCCGTTTTCATACCCCCACCCTTTTTTCAATATATCGTTTACCTGTTACATCTTCTTTGACTGTTCGGATCACACCTGTACGTTGAGACGTTGTCTGGTCACCTGATGCCAAAATCTAAGACCAACCGTCCAGGAAAGGTGAAAACGGCCCCACCCCCATCTCCTCGTATTCAGCGAGTCGACGTAAGTCAGGAACCAGTCTCCCAGCTGAAGCCCCAGGACGGTCCGCCTACTACAGTGGTGGCAGCGCAACGACCATGCCCACTACCCCTGCACATGTCTGGCGACAAAATAAACATAACGCGCAACGTTGGCATACCACCCGACGATGGTACCGAGTCTTTTACGGTGTGGCTCAGACGTGCGAAGTTTTATTTGCGGGAGATCTCAGAGGCCATCTGGTCCTGGACACTACTCAAAGTCCTCGCGCCTAAACAGTTAGACAAGGCGCTCGACGCTGATCTTGACGCCGATCTTCCCTTTGACACGCTTTGCCAACGCTTGGCTTACTTGTTCAGCCAAACGTACTCCTTCGGCGATGGAGCAGTTGCAGCAACGGCGATTGAAACCAGACGAAACCCTTAACCAGCTGGTGGAAGATCTGGAGCGCCTGACAACTGTCCCGTTCCCCTCTCTGGGCTCCGCCGACAAGGACAATACCGTACTTTATCATTTTATAAACGCGCTGCCGTCATCCGACCTTGCCCGCTCACTGTTGTTGCAGCCGCCGAACAATTTTCAAGAGGCCGTCACCAGGGCCGAACGCTACATGCGATTGTGTCCCTCAACCTCCCGTCCCCTTCCCCCTGAAGACGCACACGTTCGAGATGCCCACCCTACGCCCGCGGGACGAGGTACCTTCTATCCCCCACGACGTTTCAGAGGCCAAATGCGGCCACCCTTCAATCGTCGACGAGAACCGTTTCGCCGGCCAGGTGGGCAAATGTTTCCCAGCAACCACGTATGCACCTGCCAAAGGAAAACGGGTACGGTCTCTATTACTTCTTGCACCAGCTCTACTTTATCAGTTACTCCTTTTTATACCACATTAGCCGTTGCTGGTCGGACTGTACGGGAGCGACGGTATCCCTAGTTAACCCACGGGTCTTAAAACCGGGTATCCACCGCCAGCGTAATGACACCCCCCACCCAGGGAGATTGACCACGGCCGACGGATCACGCTTAATACACCACGGGACCCTACCGCTCACCGTGACGCTCCCCTATTTCACAGCCGAACATAGCTTTATCATAACACCCCATCTCACGTGGGACATACTCCTCGGGACTGATTTCCTCGCGCGCTACGAATGCCACATCGGTGTACGGAATAGGAGAGTTGAGTTCCGACATACCGACCGGGAAGGTCCGGCTAAGCCCCAGATAGTGGGCGAAACGGCTGCCTGTGCCGCAATCCAAGCGGCAGTCCAAATTCCTCCGACGTCCATTGACGACATATTACCCACGACAGATCGGGCCGATGTAGAGACGGAGACACTCAAACGGATGTTACTGGGGTTTCACGATGTCTATGCGTGGGACGAGTATACGCTGGGCAGAACCAGTTGCATACGACATGCTATTGAAACCGGCACAGCGAAACCAATTTGGCAACCACCACGGCGCATTCCAGCCCATTTGCAGAAGGAGGTCGATACGTTATTAGATAGTATGTTGGCGACGGAGGTGATAAAACCCTCCCGTTCGCCTTGGGCATCACCAGTAACTTTAGTTCCCAAGAAAGACGGCAAAATACGTTTCTGTATCGACTACCGACGCTTGAATGCAGTGACCACACGAGATTTCTTCCCTCTACCACGTATCGAGTGTACACTTGATACCTTAGCTGGGTCCCGATGGTTCTCCACTTTGGACCTAAAGTCCGGCTATTGACAAGTGGAAGTAGAACCGGCAGACCGCCAAAAAACGGCGTTCATCCTCCCACAAGGATTGTACGAATTCGAAACGATGCCTTTCGGTCTCTGTAACGCGGCTGCAACATTCCAGCGGCTAAAACAGGCAGTGTTGTCACACCTTTATCCGCGCCAGTGCCTCATATACCTCGACGACGTTATTGTCTTCGACAAAACTATCGCCCAGCATCACGATAATCTACGCGCCGTGCCCCAAGCGTTGCGCCAAGCCGACCTTACGTTTAACCCACAGAAGTGTCAATTCCTTCGAGAGAGGGTTAACTACCTAGGACACGAAGTCAGCCCGTCGGGTATCAAAGTCTCAGCCGAAAAGGCGGGAGCTATTCTCACTTGGCCGACGCCAAACTCCACCACGGTAGTCAGAAGTTTTATCGGGTTGGCGTCCTATTACAGACGGTTTATTCAGGATTTTGCAGGTATTGCGCGTCCGTTACACCGCCTTACAGAAAAGGGGCGCGAATTTCGTTGGACGAACGAATGCCAGGCCGCGTTTGACGAGCTGAGAACCCGCCTGTCGAGAGCACCGATACTTATGCTCCGTAATACCACCGACACGGCGCCACCCTTCGTACTTGACACGGATGTCATTGCCTTCGCCATGGGAGGTGTCCTTTCGCAAACCGACGATAACGGCCTAGAACGCGTTATCTGTTTCGCTAGCAAAACACTCACCAAGCCACAACGAAATTACTGCACATATCGACGTGAACTATTGGCCATAGTCACCTTCGTTAAACAATTTCGGCCATATCTGCTAGGTAAGCCGTTCGTCATACGCTCCGATCATAAGGCTCTGCAATGGCTACAAAACATGAAGGACGCAGAGGGTCAACTGGCTTGCTGGCAGGAAATGCCACAGGAATATCATTTCACTTGTACATACCGCCCCGGGAAACAGCACGGCAACGCCGACGCCTTGTCTCGACGGCCGACAACGCCAGCCACACACGATGAAGACCTCGCGATAGGCGAAATCAACGCCATTTACGCCAGTGAACCAGCTAGACACCATTGGGCAATAGCCCAGAGCACAGACCCGGATACCGCAGTAGTTTACGACCACCTGTTAAACCGGCGACACCGTCCTACAGATGATGAATTTCGTGGGTCATCAGAAGAAGCACATATACTGCGGAGCCAGTAGCCACGGCTGCATATCGACGAAGATATCCTTCTCATTAAGGACGAGAGCACAAAAACCGACAGAGTAGTAGTATCAGGCAGCCTCGTACACGTGGTCCTCACGGATCTACACAACGAGTTAGGCCACTTTGGGCAAGCCAAGACAGAAGCCGCCACTCGGCAACGATTTTGGTGGCCCCATCTACGAGAACACGTCGCCACTTTCTGCAACACATGCACCACGTGCGCTAAGTTCAAGGCACCAAGACAACTTCCACGTGCACCGTTGCAACCCATGCACACTAGCTCTCCGTTCCAGCGGCTGGGCCTTGACATCATTGCCCCCTCCCCTTTACGACAACCGGCCATCGGTTCATACTGGTGATGGTAGATTATTTCACCAAATGGGCAGAGGCTGTGCCGCTATTGCGAAAAGACGCAGTGTCGCTCACCAATGCAACCTTCAACAACTGGATTTGCCGGTTCGGTGTTCCGTTGTCAATACATTCCGACTACGGGGCTAACTTCGACAGTAAACTGCTGCAAGAGGTCTGTGACCTCCTCGATATCTACAAGACCCGCAACACTCCAGCACATACCGAAGGCAACGGATTGGTGGAACGAACCAACCGCACACTGAATCAACTGTTGAAGGCGTTCGCCGAAGACCATCATCCCCACGACTGGGATAAACGCCTACCGTGTGCCATGATGGCGTACCGTGCTAACACACACGCGTCAAATGACTACCCACCTTTCTTTATGCTAACAGGACGTCAATTTCGCCTTCCCGCAGATTCACGATTCCCACAACCCGCCGCAAACGAATACGCACCAGATAGCTACATATGGCATCTGCAGGATTTGCTACGCTCCACCTACACCCTCGCACGTAACCACCTAGGAGCGGCCGCCGAACGACAAAAAAACATACTTTGATCGACAGGTCCACGGCGACCCCTACCAACTAGGCGATCTGGTTTGGCGTTTCCGGCCAGTACCGCCCTTAGGGACGGCGGCCAAGTTCTTTCACCCGTGGGAAGGACCATTCGTTGTTGTCGACGTCATACACCCCATCACGTATGCATTGCGTGATGCTTCACACCCCGATGGACCCACCTTCACCACCCATTTCGTCAAGCTAAAACCTTACAGAAGAGGGCTACCCACTGCCACCGCGGACGTAACCCCCATCATTCCCCCACATTTAGTCCCCACCACAGTGGTTGAAGAAACAGTGGGCGTGGCCCAACGAGACAGCCCTGCGGACAGGGCTGAAAAACGGGCGAGCGGGAAAAAAGGAGGCGGGAGATTTCGCGCCGTGGTTTGAGTGCGTCTTCTCTCTGGTATTTCAGGTGAGGACAGCGAACGTGAGCAAGGAAACGCCCAAAAC